TGACGTCGGCAGTCCAGTCGAGATTTTTGGAGTACTAACTTGAATGGATGTCCCCATTTGATGATAACGTCAGAACTCGGCGACAAGGGTGGTTTGGGCTGTGTAATATTTGGTACACTAAAATCAAGTCTCCTCGAATCCGACGATACTGAGCAGAGTATAGACCCAACGACTGCAGTCTCCCCATGTATGAATCATAAATCATGATAGAGTTTTCTTTGACCATCTTCGTGACGAGCCTTTGTGGAAGCTCCAGAATCTTATGATCACGTTGTAACCATGGATTCCAAGTTTGGATGAAATGCTCAATATGCGGCCGGAGGTATGCTGACAACAGACGTGAGAATAACGATAGTTGAAGACGACCGAAAACACGTTTAAGTAGACCGACATGTTTGAGTGCGGTTGATGACGCCCTGGTGCAGTTATCAGAACAGCTCAGATCTTCGTGGACTGTTACACCCAAGTCCTTCTCTGTTGATGCATGAGGCAGTAGTTCGTTTCCGAGGAAATAAGGAAACCTCTCATGGTGGCGTAACGAAATCACCTTGCATTTGGAGACGTTAAATTGGATGTCGTTCTCAATAGACCATTTGTGAGCTGCATTCAGTGTTTCTTGGAGTTCCAGCGAATTTCTGTCACTGTCTTCCAGATTTTGACGTCGTCTGCAAACAATAATGTTTTTGGTCCTAGGACTTGCGGTAGGTCGTTTACGAACAAGAGAAAAAGTCTTGGACCAAGCACAGAACCCTGGGAGACTCCGCGAGAAACGGCGATAGGGACGGACAGTAAATCAGAGACTCTAACCGACATAGTCCGTTGTTAGAGAAACACAGCAATCCAATCAAGCACGAGGCCTCTGACATCAAAATTGTACAGCTTACGGAGCAGTATTTCGTGGTTCACCCGATCGAACGCTTTGGAGAAGTCCAGGTAAACCACATCAACTGAATCGCCTTTGTCCACTGCCTTTGTCCATTCATCGCGGGCCAGGAGCAGGTTGGTAGTACATGATCTCTTTTGGCGGAATCCATGCTGCCCTGGGGAAAGTAGGTCGTATTCCTCTAAGTGTTCCATCAAGAAATCCGCCACGATGGATTCCATGACTTTGGGTAGAACGAGTAGGAGTGTCACCGGGCGGTAGTTGGCAGCATCACTGCGACGGCCGCCTTTGTAAATTGGAGAAATTATGCCCTGTTTCCAAGACTGAGGCAGCACGGTTGCGTCAAACATCCTTTGGAACAGAAAAGCTAGCGGCTCAGATATGTAATCCGCTAATGCAATAAGCGGTTGGGGATATAGGTTGTCTGCACCTGGAGCCGAATATTTACGTAGAATCCGAAGCTTTGATTTCACTCTGTCGGCATCAAACGTGAGGGTAGTCAGTGGTGGATTTGGAAGAAAGAGTATTCGACGAGGCAACCGCAGTCTCGCGTTGTTAGGTTTGTCAAAGACCTGGGCGTTTTAGTTTTTCAGTATCTTAGCTGCTTCCTGAGTGTTGCTGGCGACCTTCCCAAGACCGCTGAGTGCGGGTATCTCGTACTTTACCTTCCTCGACATATTGACATGTTTGTATAGTAGTGATGGGTTGGAGATGAACTTCCGTGAGAGCACTTCTTGGTACCTCAGCTTATCCTCGCGCACCAACTGGGTACAATGGTTTCGCGGTTGTCGATATTTATTCCAGGTGCTGTCATTTGGAAATCGATTGTAATCTCGCCAAATCGATTGCGCAGAGACATCCACTTCTTAGTGCGGCTACGAATCGGCGAGTTTTTGACCCCTGATTTTCTGACAACCTCAGTAACTGAGGCGATCAGGTTTGTAAGTCTGTGTGTAAATGCATGCCAGGTGACCACTGGGTCACCTACGTCCCCAGGAAAGATCCACTGAGTGCAGTGAGCCAAATTCTGCGATCTAGTATAGTCCGTGGCGAGAAGTGTATCGTTTTGCGGACTTCTTTCTATTGAAGCGTAGCAGACATATTTGAACAACAATACTGCATGGTCACTGCGTCCTAAAGGGGGCGAGACATCGATGGATTCGACCATAAGCTCTTCGTTCGTTAGTACCAGATCCAGCATCGACGATGTCTCCAGGTTGCCAAACTTTGTGGGCTCCTGCACGTGGTTGTACAACGGATGCGAGTCGATTAACTGTTTAAACTGACTTTGGAACAATAGATGGGAGGTCAAAGTTTGATTGAAATGCGGGCAGTTGAAATCACCCACTAATAGAATATTGCTAAATTTTGCAGATAGGACTTGTGACATAGCTCGCACAAGTGTATCGTTTGCTGACTCCGTGGACGAGGGAGAACGATAGACCACTCCAACAAGACAACTGTCGTGCTTCGACAGTTTCAGTTTACACCAAATTTAGTCAGGGGCTGAAACAGGAGGATCAACTGCATTGCACTGGAGATCGCTTCGATGGTAAAGTAGAACACAACCACTGCGCGTTGGACGATCGCGTCTGAGAAGAGACATGCCCGGTAGGCCCAACTCTGAGTCGAGAATGTCATCCGTCAACCAAGTTTCTGTGACAGCAATGATATCCCACTGACTGGATTGGAAACGCAACACCAGTTCGGAGAACTTACTGAGGAGACCTTGGGCAGTGGTGTAGCAACAGGTCAAATGTATTTGGTGTAGAAGTCCCTTTGGGTGAGAAGTAGATTCATTGCCGACCCATTCACGGTTGGCTAACATTGTTTGTTTGGAGAGGGAGCCCTGGTACTCTGATCCCCCAATGGTGGAAGGGAGCATGAAGCCGGAATCGATTGTGCATTAGCACCGTTATCACACAGTGGAAATTCAGATACTACAGTCTTCACCAAGGGTCTCAGGTGCAGTTTCAGTGGTCCTTTTTTCTTGTTTAGTTTCCAAGACTGAAGTACTGCGGTCGCCATTTCTGGTGTGCTGAGGGTGACTTTCATTATCTTCGGGTCATTACCAAGGTAGTTTGGTAAAAAGGTAAGACGACTGATTGATGTAGTAAAAACATCTTGGTAGTTAATCAGGTCTTTAATGAAACACAACTCCTTATAGTCGTTGTAAAATCATTTGCACTCATCGGGATTATTTGGTTGTGGGACCCCATGAATGAGAACAACCATTTTGTTCTCTTCCTCCCGTGCACCCTCTGGGTTGTTCCAGTGTTGCGCGCGCCCCGCCCATGGTCTATCAGAGAAGATTCGTGTGGTGCTGGAGCTGTTTCTCAAGAGATAACTTGAAAGAAGAATGTTCTCAACGTCCGTTTCACTCTTCAGTGTAACGCTTACTAACCTAGGTTATGCTTGTGACGAATTTGGCTGGCGCACAAGGCGTGTGAGGCTCACAGGTTGGAAATCAATTCCCATTAGAGTGCACAAACCTTTCCAATGACCAAAATCTTATTCTTGCCTTCCCCTCAGTGTTTGGGTTGTGGGCTCTGGTAAATTCGTGCAGATGACTTTTGAGATGGTGTTCCTAAAGCCTTTCTTGCAACCTACTGACGGATTTTCTGATGGTTTGCTAGGATTCAGTGATCTAATGATATCCTTCGGCTCTGCGTCAGTGGGTATTTCTTTTGTTACGGTTGGTTCATTGTTTGCATCGATTTCCTGCGTACGTTGTACGGAAATGGTGTTGTTTATGGAGCACCAGAAAAATCCTATTGACACTGTTACGGCAACATAATCTCCCGTCACATCTTTTGAATTGGATACACGACTATCTTTACCGACCGACGCCAATTCACTTGTGTCAATGGTGTTAGGTCTCCTACTGTTACCATAAACAGGGTGCAATTTTATCCCCTTTCCTGTTCTCCTTTTATATCGAAAACTTGCCAGTCACTCCAAATGTTTTCACTTTTAAATATGCCGATGACATAGTGGTTGGTGGTGTATCTCACAACAATAACCCTTCAACTAACCTCCTTCAGTCAGCCATAAGTTCCATTTCTGAATGGTCCGATGGTGTTAACCTTTCTGTAAACCCCAATAAATGCATTGAAGTTCGTTTTCCATTGACCGTAGGGCATCAACTCGTTCTGGATAATCTGTTCCCAATATCTTTATCAATAACTTAAAAGTTTAAAGGTCACAAAACTTCAAATATCTTGAATGTTTTGTGTATGATGACCTCATATGGTTGTATCACGTAGAACAAATATTTGTTAAAGTGAGAAAATTGACCTTTTATATTTCACTCCTTCGGTATCTGAGGGTGCCATTGTGCATCATCTTCAAATTTATTCTCTCATGCGTTTTATGCCATTGGACCTACTGCTCTCTCGTTATCTTTTCCGGTTTACTGCCTTAGGATTTAACCAAATCCTTCATTACTCACATGAAATAATCAGTCAGGTTGTGAATGTTTCCAACCGAGTCATAACCCAGAAGGCTAGTGCTGAGTTGAGCAGGGTCTGTGACCCGCAACAAACTTTCAAAGATGGGTTGTGCTATATCGTGTCAATGGAAAATGAAAAACGGTCTGACCAGCTGTCCGGTGGCGTAGTGGGTAGCAGGCTTGCGTTCTGCCCATGAAGTCCGGGGTTCGATCCCTAGTCGGGTCGATGAATTCGCACTGCTGATGAGACCCAACCAGGTCAAAACAGCTGTCCAGTGCTTCCGAGCTTTTCAGTTAACGCTTCGTTTGCTATATACACGATGTATTTCCATTTGAAATTTAATCGAATCCTCCATTACTCACATGAGATTTCATATTAATTAGACGCTCTCTGAAAGCATCTCTAGATATGGAGCTGTATCTTATGAGAGGCTGGTTTATTCTATTGTCAACTAACATCTGAATGCGTGTGACCGTCTGTGTGACTCCATCTCGTCCGATGCGTCACATCCCTTACACATCCCTATCTGGCTCCATTTCAACTTCTCTAACCCACAATAAATTCAAATCTTTATATACCCGTATCACTGGTTTTCACAACTCCGTTGTACCTTTCACGCTTTTCGGTTTCTAGGGAACGAGTATCAAACGAACTTATACACAGTATAATGCAAATTTTCACGTTGAAATTTCCTTTATTTTCATACGCGTTCTCGGTGTCCTATTCACTAGCATCTCAGTAACTATTTGTCACATCTTTGAGCTCATTTTCTAATGGAGCGTATGCCAAAGCAAAAACGATAACATTCTTCTCACCGAAAATTCTTTCCACGTTGGATGAATAAAGTGCACTCTTGACTTGATTTGACTTGAACACAACTTTGATCGGTATCAGCTTTATAACAGTTTTTTCCTTTAGGACGATATAAATTTTCAGACAATCTCAACAACAGATTCTCGCCATTAATATGTACAAGATCCATTTGGTGTCACAGTGTTTCTATGCTGATGTTAGATGCAACTGAACCTTGGCCGAGAAAAGTTGAACACGGCCATACTGTGCGGACATGGATACGAATGATCTATAATAAAGAAAGATTCTATGTTCGAACGTTGTGTTCAAACGGGTTTGTGTTTAGTCAGAGCGTTATTTTCACCTTTGTCAATCCTTAAACTACTGCTTGTGAGCTGATTTAAAATTGTCTTTTGGCTACACACGTGTGGTTTATCAATGTTTGAAAGAGGTAGAATGATGTGGGATGTACCAAAATAAAGTCACATGATGCGAATACAGCACAATGTTGTCCGTGGTTGTTCTTTCAGGAAGACAAAACAATGTGCTGAAACATTGCAAATAAAATCATTCTAACCAATCTAGCTAAACGGTTTCTGGTGCATTACGATTCAATTTGTTGTATTTAATTTTTCTTGAAAATGAAAAGTAGTTATAAATGTCCCCAGAATTTACTACCTCTATAGTTACAGAACAAAAGTACATCAATTTTGTCGAATATCTGTTAACCCCCTTAATAATTATTTATAGAAGGAATTCATTGTGTACAGAGCAAATCAAGCGTGAACTGAAAAGTTAGGAGGCACTGTACAAGTTTTTCGCAAAGATGATTTGTTAAAGCGTGTAAATGGAAAATGAAAAATGGTGTAATCAGATTCGCGATGGTACAGTGGGTAGCATGCTTGCCTCTATGAATTGACAAGTGAATTATTCTTGAATGTGTCCGTGAGACAGTGCTAATGACCTTAAATTGCTGTCGTAGCAAGAGTAGGCAAATATTGTTGTTCCTTAACCATTTCTATTTCACTGGTACAGGTGATCNGAGGTCATTGTGTGTTTTGGTATGGAGTTTGGTTTCAGCAGATTACAATCTTCTTACTCATTTACGTCAGATGGAAACGAGATGTGGTTTTTTGCATTAGCAGCGTGGAAATTTCTTCCATAAAATAGAATTTCAGATGTGTATTAGTTCGAATCTTGAACTACCGAGAAGAGGTTGTTACTTGACTCCTAGTCTCTCGTGCCACAGGGGCTGATCTGTGTCCTCTCCATCACCTGTCAACCACACAAACTGCTATCATCAGACACCAATGTAGTATCATCCCTCATTTGGCCAGCATGCACGTTTCGGTGTACCATTGTTGCACCCATTAACCTTGTACTTATACCCTCGTTTTTCGGTGTGCGCTCTTGGGAAAAAAACAAATGAATAATTTGAAAAAAAATAGTTGCCTTGTCTTTGTCAAATATGAGCGAAAATGGGATGCTAAAGAAAGAAATTTAAGATAGTAAGTGAGTGTTTTTCTACACAACATAACGTCTTCTGTATTGATGACCATAGAATGACTGAATCAAATAGACTTTAATTAAAGAGATCGGCATCTTCTGATATTTACTCAAACATTCAGGTGTTCAGTAGTAGCGTGAGTATAAGTGTTTGACAAACAAGTCAAGAAACGTGAGACAAACCCCAATCAGCTGGTAGTAAAACGAGTTTTGTTATACGAATCATGCTAAAGAGTAAAGCTATGACGTAAAACGCAAACTGAATTATACTCAACATGAAACGTTTATTCACCTCATGAAAGATACTTTTCCCTACACGTACTAGTCACATGGTGCGTCGTCCCCCGTGTTTGCAAGTTGGTCACTCCCATTCACACTCATCTTGGTTAATGAAAGCACTTAGTATGCCCGTGTTTATAAACTCATTAGAAACTTTACGATTGCAGTTAATGGTTGTGCAGACCAAGATCGAAATTTGACCACGTCTCAGATCCAGTGCGGACATCTCGTCCAAATCCTATGGGAATTCCTTTTCTGTTTTTCGATTGAGAGAATGGCCGGGAAAAGACAATAGGCGATGCTCTAATGAACGAAACGAAATGTGTAAATCCAAATCCCTGAAATCCCTGACCAACCAAGAATTGTGAATGAAAGGACGGACATCAGGAGGATGAACAGGTAAGTCAGAAAGGAAAGAATTGCGAAAGGAATTCCGTTCGTACACTCTCCTCGATGGAGTACGTATAACATTAAACAGGATAGACAATTTAAGTGAAGTAAGAAATCTAGTTAGGTTTTATGTGTGCGTGTGTGGGTTTGTATTTGCATAAGAGTGATTACAGCCAGAGTAGGCTAAGGCCTACACGCTTTCGAATACACAAGTTGGGTTAGTTTTGAGGTATCAGTAATACCTCGAGTTGCCTCGGTGTTTGTCACGATGACGCAACAGAAACGAGAACGCGTTCACTTCATTTAGTTGTGTTATTTGATTTTATAATCACGGGACTGATGAAAGTACAAGGAAGTCCTGTCCTGGTCTGATCATGTCATCAACGTTTTCACTAAAGTTCGAAAACTGTCCTTCTATGCTTACAGGCTCAGGAAACTGGCCGTACCGCATTATCTTATTCTTGAATTTGTGATTGCCTGCATTCTTCCACACTGGCTATACTGCTCCCCGATTTTTATCCCCGGACTGAAAGAAAAAGACTTCACTTTTTTCGAGATCCCCCAAACTTTTGTCCCGTTACAGTGGAGTTGATAGAGTTGTTTTGGTTGATTTCTTTATTTCCAAGCATCTTGACGCTTGTGATACATTCATTGACAGGATAACGCATGATCAAAGGGCACTATCTGCACCAAGATATCGCGAAAGCCCTGTCAATCCCCCGGATACGCTCCAAATATCAACTCCTTCCTGCGCGGACTTCCATTTATCGAAACAGTGTAATTCCTTACCTAGCTCGTTTACTAGTAAATCGTCAGCATATCCTCACTCACCTCAGAGAAAAACTCTTGCCCTAATTTTTTCTCTCATTTATTAAAGTGCAGAATTTTTCATACTGAATTTTTTTGTTTACAATTATTTTATCTATCCACTGTAATACTCGTAAACTGCTGAAAATTCACCTTTTGGGTTCATAAAGCTTTTCTTGATTTGACTTGAAGAAATTCTTCTTTCAGCGTTTGTCTTCTAACTTGTTCAAATTTACTACGGGATCTAAATCATCAGCATTTGTTCACAAACCTCTGATCAAGGAACAGAATGACTAAAGGAAATGAGATTACGTTTCCATTATGATTTGATACTGTCACTCCCAACATGGATTCGGGATTGCGCCTGAGTGAATCCAGAAGTGTTGATCAAACTCGTGCCACTTGATTCTCATATTTGAAATACACTTCTGTAGCCAATATCTTCCTGGTACAGTGATTGCGATGGGTGTACTTATTCTGAACTCAATCTTCCACTTCTACCATGTTAGTTGTCTTACATCGCCAATCCCATTTGCGTGACCTCGAACTGTGAATCTGCGGGTTGGGACTTCTAGCCTTGAGATACTCGGTCGATGGTCATCACTTAGTACGAAGGGATCAAACAATACACGATTCGAGTCCTGAGAGGGACAAAAAATTCACTGCTGATGAGTCCAAAAAAGACGAAACAGGCGCCTGGTGCTCTCAGTGGATTATCACAACTATTTCCATCACAATTAAATGCATTCAACTAGTGAGGAACTAACGATCTCCTAATGAGTGAAACCCACATCCAAGACCATCAAGAATGCCTGATGCCTCCGAATAGTCGAATGAGCTTATCCAAACTTGATACTGTAAATCCCATAGGAAAGCTTTGGAAACATGTTTTCTTATACATTTGGTGTCTCAATTGCATACAGTAAGCTGCTACGTCTTGGTTTCCAGTTAGAAAATCATCTAAGCACTTATATATCACTAATGGTTGAAATATAATTAGAGTCATCCTCGTCTTACTAAAAACTTCGATAAAACTGTGTATGAATACAACGATTGTAGTTTATTTAATTAAAACTCCCATGTCTTTTCAGAAAAACCTTCCCAAATCGGTAAATTCCAGCAAGATGCTAACTAGGTAAAAAAAACCCAGTGTGTTTTGTCAGTCATAAAATGTGTACACTTCAATGTCGTTTAGGTATATTTCCTCCCGCATAAATGTGAACATGTATGCTCACACCATTCCCCTTTCGATGCTCGTCTGGTTTGTTATGTATTTTTCCATTCACATTGCACCAGAGGTTGTGTGAAAATAGAAAAAATAACAAATAAAGAATGACAGCCGCGAAGTGAACTGAAGGGATAGGTGCCAAACGGAATAAAAGATTGATCAACCAATCAATCGATATCTATGGTCGTGTGCACAAACACACGCACACACACTAGCCACCACATTGCATTTCCCCGTCTGATGCCCAGTACGCATGCATACATGTGTGCATGCACCTTGCTTTTCCTTTGCTGATACGCATGACATAGCTGACAGGTCTAAAATGAACTATCTCACTTCATTAATGAAATCACAGAGACCCGTTCGTTTGCGTGAATGGAGTTGCCAATCAACCGCTGTTCGTCGCGGCAATGCACGGAATAAATGAATCAACCGACGATTGACATTAGGAGTTCAGCTTTATTCCCAACACGCGAGAAATCTGTAGGATAATACAAGCAATATTTCAGCAGCTTTCTCTGTTTGTCTAGATTTTCAAGCTTAAATGCACACCGTAGAGAAAACTTTCAGTTATAACTTCTAGGTCGTAATTTCTTTCATTGCTGTCAGGTGACCGTAAAATGCGTTGTATTGTTCACTCTGTGAACTTTCTATTGTTATTTTGACTGTGGTCGATACAACTAATAAACGTTTTCACTTTCCTTTCACTTACCATTAATGAGGATACCCATTGTTCTGCTTGTGGTTCCCAGACTATTTTTCACACGACAACTATATTCATCCATATCCTCCTCACGAAAATTGTGGAACACCAACTGACTGATTCGTGGTTTGGGACTCTTGACAGCCGAGGACGGCATGGGATGCGCGTTTGCATCCACGGAATGATCGGACTCCTGTGGGATGGGCAAACCACGGAACCAGGTCACCTCGGCTCGAGGATTTGCTGTCCACTGACAAAATATGGTCACATTTGATCCCAGATCTACCACCGTGCGCCTCGTGGAACTTTGAACAATAACAGGAGCTTCTACAATTGTATGGGTAGGGAAGAGAGCGATGTTGCACGGCCGGATTATTTTATAAATGAAGAAAAAGACTTGAAAAATCGACGAGAGCCTCGCATAAACCAACAATGAAACTGGTTACATGGGACTATGGGTAAAATAACACGCTGTTAACACTGTTTGCATGACGGGGATACAATCATAAAAGTTGCCTTGTTGCTTATATCTGTTTCAATTCTTTTTTAATTTATCATCGTCTGATTGCTACGTGCGTGATAAGCATAGAGATTCTTATTTGATTGAATTCAAAATTGTGAGGTTTCAAATGAGAATAAAATTAAGTTACAAAAGTACAACAATAGGGCAAAACAAGAATTATACGAAACTAAATGGGAAAATAACGTTTAACAAGATTACTTATATTAGTTAAATATAAAACGAGAAAAAGAGGTCAGTGAAAATGTAAATATTCACGATCATTCAGCTGAGGAGTTTATGTTTGTTTCTAATCGGATTCTAAGTGTTTCAGAGTTTCGGTCTGTCGACATGGGTTTAAGTTTTAGCTTAGCAGCACCAATGTTGCTGCTTCATCTAAAAGCTTCCTTTCATATTCTTTCCTTCAAAGCTGTGCTCTTCACGGGTTCCTTTGGAGTGTATTTAAATTAGTTAGAGGAACGCTACATAGATAGGGAAAATCTTTTGTCGGGAGTCTTTATTACCTTCATATGACTCACTTTCTGCATATTTGCAGCCTCATTGTCAGCTACGATTTGCATTGAAATTTCTGAACATTTACCTAGGTAGAACAAAAATTTGGTGGTAGGACCAAATGGTGATTTACTCAATTCCGTTTTAATAATACCATTTAATCAATCAATCAATCAATCAATTAATCAATCAATCAATCAATCAATCATTCATTCATTCATTCATTCATTCAGTCAGTCAGTCAGTCAGTCAGTCAGTCAGTCAG